AATACTCTGTACCATCTTATAATGACAGATACTTGTCATTACACATTTGTCCAAACCCATAGAATGTACAACATGAAGAGTGAACCCTAATGTAAACTATGGACTTTGGGTGATTATGATGTGTCAGGGGAGGTTCAGCAATTGTAACAAATGTACCACTCTGATGGAGGGTGCTGACAACAGAGGAGGCTTAGCATGCATGGGGGTAAGGAAGGGGTAATACAGGAAATCTCTGTACCTTCCTTTCAGTTTTGCTGTGGATCTAAAACTGCCCCCCAAAATAAAGCTATTAAAAATAATAATTAAATAAATTTTTTAGAAACAGAAAGGAAAAAGAGCAGGGAGGAAATGAGTGCTCTAACACAATTCCTAACAAAATTCACTTGTGAAAGCATTTCTAAGTTAATGTTCTGTACAGATGAATTAAAACTCTGCCCTTGACAATCTGAAATTCAACGAGCTTAAAATATATAATATTTTTTCATTATAGTTTCCCTCTAAAACTGTCACTGTATTCCCTGACATTTAAATTCAATATCTAGGCTCAATCAGTAGATACGGATGCATTTGAGATCCCTGAATCACCTAATACCTAAGTGCTCTAAACAGGTGTCTGCTAAGAAACACATAATCCATTTAGTGGAGGCCTATAATATTTGTTTTGTTTTCACAGATGGTGTTGGATTATTGAAGCGGAAATATGCCAAGAAGTTTTTGGAGTACCGTTCCATTTAAAAAAGTTGGACTTTGCATTATTTAAAGCTATGATAATTTAACTCAGCTCTAATCCTCCAGTCTGACCAAATCTATTATTTTCTATATCTCCTAAATTTCAGGTTTCCTGTTACTAACCCCTGCATCATACAAAAAGTTTCAGGGAGGAAAACATATCATTCACTTTCAAAGTGTTTAGTCTGTCTCCTTATCTTTTTCTTTTCAGAAGGCAGGCAATAGACACTAGTGTGTTGAAACGGAGTTAGGAAAAACAAATAACGGTAAACCTACTACTGACTGTTTGACCATGGGGAAGTCATTTAATTTCTCTTTATTTCAGTATAGTCATCTGCAAAATAAGGTAATAAACTTGTTCAAACGACTAAGTTTTTAAAGGGCAAACATGCTAAAGTAGTTCAGGATTTGCTAGTCTGTTTGTTGAGAAATAATATAAATTCAAAATATTATCATTATTTACCTAATCATATACAATATCTACCATGGGCCTTTTAGTTTTAGTTACCAAGGGTGACAGTGTTTGTTGTAGAGTAGGAGTTGCACAGTGAATTCAGCTCTTTCATTTTGTGATCTTGAGCAAATTACACTTGTGTTTCTTCGGCTGCCTAGAACCTGAACTACTTTTTTATACCTGGAGAATGCCTCATCGTATACATTGTTGTTGAACTCTCTCCCACTATAGAACCTGAAAAAAACAAAAACCCACTCCTCTGCCTTTCACTACTAGCACCTAGGGTATTGGCACAGAACCTAGGCTTCTCCAAATAGATTCTTCCACCTGAGACTCTGAACTCGGATTAAATGAAATAGGCATTGAGAATAGAATTCATTTTGTCAATGGGAATGGCAGTGGTGGGGATGGGAGCTCTGGGAGTTTCCACAGGGCTGTTCCTACTAAATGGTGCTACTTTATTAGGCGAGGGGCTGACATGGGGATTCAGCTGGTTGTTCATGGTATCTATCTCAACTTTATACTGAGGAACTGGGAGAATCCAGAGGACGAACTTAGGGTGTGATATTTCATATCAGAATTCCATTTATCACGTGACCCTTCCAAAACCCTCATTCAAACAAGCGGACTCAGCGGTGTTCCAAGTTCCCAGCGATTAGATTTAGCTCAGAGCTGGTACAATTAAGTCCAAAGAGATCTGTGTATTTCTCAAGCTGTCCTAGTACACTAGGGAGGCTGGAGGACATGTTTGAGGTAGGCTGAAAAATGGCCCCTGACAATATACTCCACATCCCAATTCCCAGAACCTGTGAAAACAATGGCCCTCTGTATCCTCTGTAACCATGGGTTCTATATCCATGGGTTCTGCGTTCACGGATTCAACCAACTGCAACTGAAACTATATTTTTTTAAATCCTGAAAGTTCCAAAAAGCAAAACTTGAATTTACTGCTCACTGGCAGCTACTTATGTAGCACTTACATTATATTTACAACTATATACATAGCATTTATATTGTATTAGCTATTTTAAGTAATCTTAAGATGATTTAAAAGATGTACATAGGTTATATCCAAATATGACACCGTTTTACATAAGGGTCTTGAGCATCCTCAGATTTTGTTATCTGCAGGGTTGGTGGGGATGGAATTAATCCATCACAGATACCAAAGGACAAATGTATCATCTTATACGGCAAAAGATGCAATTAAGTTAAGGCTCTTGAGAGGAAGAGTTTATCCTTATTTTTCTCATGGACCCTAAATGGAATCATAGGTATCCTTTTAATAGAGAGGCAGAGGGAATTCTGAAATAAACATACATAGGAGAGAAAACAATGTGAAGATACAGCAAAGAGAGATTTTCTTTTAACATCTTTATTGGAGTATAATTGCTTTACAATGATGTGTTAGTTTCTGCTTTATAACAAAGTGAATCAGCTATATATATACATATATCCCAATATCTCCTCCCTCTTGTGTCTCCCTCCCACCCTCCCTATCCCACCCCTCTAGGTGGTCACGAAGCACCAAGCTGATCTCCCTGTGATATGTGGCCGCTTCCCACTAGCTATTGATTTTACATTTGGTGGTGTACATATGTCCATGCCACTCTCTCACTTCGTCCCAGCTTACCCTTCCCCCTCCCCGTGTGCTCAAGTCCATTCTCTATGTCTGCGTCTTTATTCCTGTCCTGCCCCTAGGTTCTTCAAAACCATTTTTATTTTTAGATTCCATATATATGTGTTAGCATACAGTAATTGTTTTTCTCTTTCTGACTGACTTCACTCTGTATGACAAACTCTAGGTCCACCCAGCTCACTACAAATAACTCAATTTCGTTTCTTTTTATGGCTGAGTAATTTTCCATTGTATATATGTGCCACATCTTCTTTATCCACTCATCTGTCGATGGACACTTAGGTTGCTTCCATGTCCTGGCTATTGAAAATAGAGCTGCAATGAACATTGTGGCACATGACTCTTTTTGAATTATGGTTTTCTCAGGGTATATGCCCAGTAGTGGGATTGCTGGGTCATATGGTAGTTCTATTTTTAGTTTTTTGAGGAACCTCATACTGTTCTCCATAGTGGCTGTATCAATTTACATTCCCTGCAAGAGGGTTCCCTTTTCTCCATACCCTCTCCAGCATTTATTGTTTGTAGATTTTTTGATGATGGCCATTCTGACTGGTGTGAGGTGATACCTCATTGTAGTTTTGATTTGCATTTCTCTAATGATTAGTGATGTTGAGCATTCTTTCATGTGTTTGTTGGCAATCTGTATATCTTCTTTGGAGAAATGTCTATTTAGGTCTTCTGCCCACTTTTGGATTGGGCTATTTGATTTTTTGATATTGAGCTGCATGGGTTGTTTGTAAATTTTGGAGATTAATCCTTTGTCAGTTGCTTCATCTGCAAATATTTTATCCCATTCTGAGGGTTGTCTTTTTGTCTTGTTTATGGTTTCCTTTGCTGTGCAAAAGCTTTTAAGTTTCAGTAGGTCCCATTTGTTTATTTTTGTTTTTATTTCCATTTCTCTAGGTGGTGGGTCAAAAAGGATCTTGCTGTGATTTATGTCATAGAGTGTTCTGCCTATGTTTTCCTCTAAGAGTTTGATAGTGTCTGGCCTTACATTTAGGTCTTTAATCCATTTTGAGTTTATATCTGTGTATGGTGTTAGGGAGTGTTCTAATTTCATTTTTTACATGTAGCTGTCCAGTTTTCCCAGCACCACTTATTGAAGAGGATGTCTTTACTCCATTGTATATTCTTGCCTCCTTTATCAAAAATAAGGTGACCATATGTGCATGGGTTTATCTCTGGGCTTTCTAACCTGTTCCATTGATCTATATTTCTGTTTTTGTGCCAGTACCATACTGTCTTGATTACTGTAGCTTTGTAGTATAGTCTGAAGTCAGGGAGCCTGATTCCTCCAGCTCTTTTTTTCTTTCTCAAGATTGCTTTGGGTATTTGGAGACTTTTGTGTTTCCATACATATTGTGAAATTTTTTGTTCTAGTTCTGTGAAAAATGCCATTGGTAGTTTGATAGGGATTGCAATGAAACTCTAGATTGCTTTGGGTAGTATAGTCATTTTCACAATGTTGATTCTTCCAACCCAAGGACATGGAATAGATCTCCATCTGTTTGTATCATCTTTAATTTCGTTCATCAGTGCCTTATAATTTTCTGCATACAGGTCTTTTGTCTCCTTAGGTAGGTTTATTCCTAGGTGTTTTATTCTTTTTGTTGCAATGGTAAATGAGAGTGTTTTCTTAATTTCTCTTTCAGATTTTTCATCATTAGTGTATAGAAATGCAAGAGATTTCTCTGCATTAATTTTGTATTCTTCTCCTTTACAAAATTCATTGAGTAGCTCTAGTAGTTTTCTGGTAGCATCTATAGGATTCTCTATGTATAGTATCATGTCATCTGCAAATAGTGACAGCTTTACTTCTTCTTTTCCAATTTGGATTCTTTTTTTCTCTTTTTCTTCTCTGATCAGCAAAGAGAGATTTGAAGATGCTGGCTATGTGGCCAAAAGCAAAGAAATGCTAGCCACAGAAGCTGAAACAGGCAAGGAACAGATTTTTCCTGTCAAGCCTCTGGAGTGAGCACAACCCTGGCAGCACCTTGACTTAGGCCCTAGTGAAACTAATTTTGGACTTCTGGCCTCCAGAACTGTGAGAGGATAAATTTCTGCTGTTTTAAGCCACCATATTTGTGGTAATTTGTTACAGCAACCACAGGAAACTAATATACAATCCGTTATTACATCCATAAATACAGCAAATGTATTTTCTAAAATATTGGCTGAGTGATTGCTTCAGCAGCACATATACTAAAATTGGAACAATACAGAAATTAGCATGGCCCCTGCCAAGGATGACATGGAAATACATGAAGCTTTCCATATTTTTAATGCATATTCAGATGTTAACAATAAATTCAAAAGAATAAAGAAAATTATTAGCTGAAATGGAAAATGAAAATAAAAAGCCTAAATGTCAAATATATAGGTTTTGTAAAATAATTTATATTAACATGAAAGGATATAAGGCAAAAATGAAAAGAATAAATCTAAAGAAATAGGGGGAAAATCTTCCTTAATTAAGACATCGCTGTATTAAGGCCAATGTCCTTTTCTGAGACCTTCATCATTACTGCCTGATGATCCATAGGATTACAATAAAATATGAGGCATCCTAACTATACTTAGATATAAAATGAGGTGGAATGATCATGGAATGGTGATAAGAACACTAGTTTTTCAGGATGTAAATGAATGAGAACAGGAAAATGGTTGTTGAGACACAGATAGGAAGAACCACCAATTTGAGAAACATAGGAATGACTAGGGTTACAGATAGCTTCCAGAGGGAATTCTGATTTAATTTGCATTCAGCAAGCAGCTCATGACAGCCTCATGTACTTTTCCACTATAACACATCCAAGACAGTGGTTCTCAGACTTTGGTTGGAATCAGAATCATCTAAGAACTTGGTATAAACCCAAAGGCTCAGGCCTACCCTCTTCAACAAGCCTGCTCTACTGTGTTCGTCATGAGTTCTCCAGGTGTTCTGATACACGCCAGCATTTGAGAACCAGGGATCAGGAAAAATACACAAAAGGCAAACTTTAATGTCATTGGCAGCTATGATTAGTCCCCCAAGAATGTAACAGAAAACTTAATTCTTTTCCCTCACTACCCATTCAAATCTGTCCTCTGAGGCTAATTCTAAGCAGAAATCTAAGCAGATCCCATGACTTTTCTGATCACTCTCAGAAAATAAAAAGTTCTCTGGCCACCTTTAGTCACAAAACATTTAATTTTGATATTTAAATGATCACTCCCAAGTGATACTCCAGACTCCATACTTCATTTAAAACTCCTCCCTTCCCCGCTCAGGCTAAGGAGTAGGTAGGAAACCTAGCGTGGGGAGGTTTCTAGTTCCCTCCTTCTTATTCACTGCCCTTTATCCCATCAGCAGGCTGGCTCTAGAGCTTCCAGATTTCGAGGAGACATATTAGAGAGAGGTAAGGCCCAAGAAAGTTCTCTCTTTTTTTTCTTTTTGCGGTACGTGGGCCTCTCACTGTTGTGGCCTCTCCCGTTGCGGAGCACAGGCTCCGGACGTGCAGGCTCAGCGGCCATGGCTCACGGGCCCAGCCACTCCGCAGCATGTGGGATCTTCCTGGACCGGGGCACGCACCCGTGTCCCCTGCATCGGCAGGCGGACTCTCAACCACTGTGCCACCAGGGAAGCCCGAAAGTTCTCATTTAATAGTCACCAGTATAATCTGGCACTGGCTTTCCCTGGCTTGGCTGGAATCTAAGGCTGATTCTTTCTCCTGGAGTGTGCTTGTACTTTCTATGGAGCCCTGTCACTGGCAATGGATTCCCCCACTGTTGCTCTCTTAACACAGGTGAGGTCTCCTCTGCCTGGACATTTATGACTTCACCCTGAATTTCTGAGGCCAATTCCGTTCTCTCAAGGGCCTAACGCCCTCCAAGATAGCTCCACTTATATCTCTCTTTTCCATGTGGCCCTCAAGAGTCCCCAGAAAGCCCAAATGAATTCTTCCTTCCAAAGACTTCTGGCAATGGCAAGCTGTTCCTAAAGCAGCCAGACTTCAGGCTTTTCTAGCAAGAAGATCAGTGCCCCAGACCCCCACACACCAGGCGATCTCTTTAAAGGGCCCCCTTGAATCCCCTCTCATTCGGCTTGAGGGGAAATGGAAGAGACATTTCATAGCACTCCAAATCAAATGATCTCTACTTAAAAGACATACAACTGAAACAAAACAGCATGGAAAAGTAAAACAGAAAAAAATGGGTGACAGTGCATTAGGAAGCATCGAGAAAAATGAGACAAACAGCTATATTAATTTGAACGAAGTAGAACAGAAAGTAGATTTAAGCACGGACAAAAGAGGATCATGAAAATAATAAGAGGTGAAACTCATAAAATGTATCAAAATACATGAAGAAAAATTCTTGGCATTTAGTGATAATTTGACATAGGCATAATTTAACACACATTTCTCAGCCCTTAACCAATTATATAGAATACATATGATGATATAAAAAAATTAGAATAATAGAATTCAGAATTTTATATATAACAAATTTTGTAAACCTTTCAATAGAAAGTTAACCAGTGCACATGACCCTTCAAAAACAATATATACCCTGTGAAAAAAAAAATTCCAAAGTGTCAAAAATATGCTACCTGTAGTCTCTCTCTACAAAAGAATAAAACTAGATATTTACAGAAGAAATAGTAAAGAAGGATCCTAACTATTTAAAAATTCAAAACCATCCTCTTAAATACTGGACCAAAAAAAAATCTACAATTATAAACTATTTAAGAACTAATGATAATGAATGATCTATACCCAAAATGCACAGGAGATGGTCAAGGCAATGCTCAAAGGTAATTTTATATTTTAAAATAGAAATTTAAAATAGTTTTAAATGAGTTATTTGTCCTTTATCATATAATCTTAAATTCATGTATTTGGGAAAAATCCATAGAAGTCTAGGGAAAGAAAATATTAATAATTTTGAGCCTTTGGACTATGATGCTGAAAAAGAAAAAATACCTACCTTTTAATTTATTAAAAAATACTGGCTGCTTAATTTATGCTTGGCATTTTTCTATACATAAAATAGTGAACAAGTCACAGGTCTTGTCCTCAAGAAATTTAGTCAGTAGAGAATGAAGTCATTAGATAACTAGAATACAGGAAGTACCAGGAGTTCTTTGATAGTAGTAAGTCCAATACAAGGGGCCAGGGAGTAGGTAGCTGCACCATCTACAAGCCATAAGGTGACAGTGAAGGTCTTATGAGGGACCGGATACACAAACGAAGTCCTGAGAGTAAAAGGCATTATCCATCAGGGATAGGAGTGTGGTCAGCACAGAGAGAAGCATGTGGAAGGAGAGAGAACAGAGTGCATTAGGAGAACTGAAAATATTCAACATTGATAGACAGCAAATGATGAAATGTGCTCTTGGAGAGGTGAGCCTGGACCGTATCCTGGAAAACCTCATAGGAAATGTTAGGGAATTTCAACTTCATCCTGAGAAGGGATGAAAGTAGGGGTGTGACATAAGAAGAGGTACATTTTAGAAATATGGCAGGATGGGGGTATGGCATGCTATCCTCTCCTTTCTAGGGTGAAAGCCATGCCACACTAGGAGCAGAGGGGCTGAGGAATCTTAGTAGAGCCAGGCATAGATGGGAGATGAAGTCAAGCAAGGAAATGAACACTGAAAACCCAAAATGATGCACAGGGAGCCAGAAACTGAATACTAACAAATACTGACTTCTTAAAAAACAGGAGATCCAAAGTGAAGGGCAAAGTAAAAGCAGCCAGAGAGAAGGGCACAAAGGAAGGATACCAAACAAAAGGAGAGTGGAGGTGCAAAACTAGAAGATTAACAGAGACATTATAAACTATCAGAACTGAGGAAAATTGGCAAAGCCTCCACTGGTAATATTAGGGAGAATAATTTCAGTAGACAGTTGCACCACACTTCTACCGGGTTTCCTTTATGGTCAATTGGCAAGCTACCGTTTAGAAACTGGCCATTCAGTCCTACTATGTAACTTTAATTCTCCAGTCAGTTAAAAACGCGTATTATTCTCCCATTCCCAAGATGCCTAGGTAGGCTGAATGCAAATGCTTAGAATCCAGGTTGTGATTCCTTGGAATCACAGAGCAGTGGTTACTCTACATAAGGACTTTCAACAAAACAAAACAAAAGCTTTACGGGAAGCTTCAGAGTAATCTCGCTAGTGGATCGTTAATTTTAATAATACTGGAAGCTTTTAATAAAATAATGTTCATTTCTTGCAATGATGGTGACATCATATCAAATTATAACCAAAGCAGTATATGTTAGAAGTGAGAGGCTTGAATCCAAAATGTGAATTATGGGAATGTATGAAATTGCATCATAAAGTTCTTAGGGGGTGTGATTAGTGAAACATCACTTTCTCTCCACAGATTAGGAAATCTCTTCCCAGCGCCACTGAGCCCTTCTGATTCCATCAATTTCGTTACGGATTATTTCCCAACATCCATCGATGGCAACCACTAATATGTTTCTCCATGGTATTTTAAAAGTAATCTTAAGGATAAAGTGGAATGGAAATGAGTCATCTGCGCTTGCTGTAACAATCGGCCAATTCAAAATGTTAAGCGCCAGCTCTGTTATTACGAATATCACATAAAGTAAATCAACTGCCAAAACTGATTATGTTGATACACTCATAGATGAAGTTAGGATTTGCAGAATTTCAGTAAATTGAAGTTCTAGGATTACATATGCATCTAATTAGCTTTTCAGTCATTTATTCAATCAATCATACACCAAATATTTATTGAGCATCTACTATGTGCCAGGTCCTGTTCCAGGCGCAGGGAGTAGAGTGAACAAAACAGACAAAATCGTATTCTCAGTGATCATCGTCGTGTTGCTTTCTCTAAGTATTCATTTCTGAAATAAGAAAAATTCATTACGCGTGAAATTTTGAAGAGGTGTATGTTCTTTGAAAGCTTTGGAAATGCATCTGTGATATATTTTTTCCCTTTTTCCCAAGTCCATTTAAAATATTTATCATCTCTTGAGAAAAAAATGAAATAATGTTTCTCTTTTGAAGGCAAAGGGTCTTTAATAAAATTTGCTTATTGCTTATGAGAAAGAATTCTAAAAACAGCACAGAATTTTTAAAAAATTTTTTAAAAAATTATAATTTTAAATTTGGACTCTGTCAGCCAAATACTTGATTCACCAGCCACCTGAATATTGGAAAACTCAATAATCTCCAGATGTGTCTCAATTACACCAAGAACAAGACAAAGTACACGTCAACTTTTGCAACTTTCATAACTCCCTCCTAATGCTTTTGT